AGTAGTAGTAGTAGTAGTAGTAGTAGTAGTAGCAGTAGTAGTAGTAGTACTAGGTAGTAGTAGTAGTACTAGGTAGTAGTAGTAGTACGTAGTGGGAACCTTTTGGGAACCTTGTGGGAACCTTGAGGGAACCTTGAGGAACCTTGGGAACCTTGAGGGAACCTTGGGAACCTTTACTTGGGAACCTTTAATTGGAAACCTTTCCTTGGGAACCTTTACTTGGGAACTTTGGAACCTTTACCTGGGAACCTGTACTTGGAACCTGGGAACCTTGGGGAAATGGGTTTTGGAGCTGCTCCGGTCTGCTGTTGGGGAATAATTCTGGGGTACCCAAGGTCTCCATGTTCTCCCTTTGCATCCTTTATTTTTTTGCAGCGCCTTTCATCTTGATCATTTTGATCATATCGAAGCACTCTGCGCACTTGCAAATCGTACAGACCAAGCATCAAAATACCAAAAGCCATTATCATCATTATCCAACAAGTCTTGTTCACAAAATGCAGATTGTTGTGAAAAAAATAAATATGACTTTTTCGCATTTGTTCATTTTTGGTTTTCCATTTTGTTTCCTGTTCCCTGCTGTTCCCTGCTGTTCCCTGCTGTTCCCTGTTGTAGTGACATTGTGTTTTCTCATTTTCACATTTGTTTAAAAATGTTTTATTGTTATTTTTCTTTCTGTTATCATATTTTAGTAAAGTTTCTTCTGGTTTCCCCATTACAAAAGTGACATTTCTCATTTTGCATCATTTCCCCGTTGCTGTTCTCCCCGTTGTGCCTTACCCGTTGTGTCCGTTGGTCCCCGAGATCTGAGCCGGGGAATCTCGGGGATCCACCAGAGGCGCATTGGGGAGACAGCTCACGGCAAAGCAATACGGACACAACGGGTAAGGCACAACGGGGAGAACAGCAACGGGGAAATGATGCAAAATGAGAAATGTCACTTTTATGGTTTGTAAACAAATAAACTTAAACTATGTAAAATACACGTTGTCTTCTTCATAGTTGTTATATAAAGGTCTACAGTACATGTTGTGATGTTTAGGGTGGGTTATGTATCATTGTATTTGTGTATATATGTATTTCTTTATTTATTTAGATTACTTATTTATTCATTTATTTATTTATATATATATATACATTATATTATATGAAGAATTGTTCACAATGTGCTATTTTTTTTGGTGCGCAAAATGAACAAAACACCTGGCTCAAGATAAAATCATAGGTACCCTACCTGCTTAGCTGCATTTGTCCCCAAGGGGGGTCGGAGACCAGTATATCCAACATAAAATCATAGGTACCCAACTTGCTTATCCCCAAATGAGGCTACCCAGGCTGGGAACTTCAGGTACCCAACCCCATTCTATTTTGGAAAAAAGGCCAAAATAAAATATAAATGGACTCTGTGGGAGCCTCTTGGAGGATCCCAAGAACCTAAGATTTATTTTGGAGCACCAGAGGGGTTTCAAAAAGTCAACCGCATGTTCGGACACGAAGATAATTTGTGTCTGTTTGTAAACCATTTTTGGGGACGTGTCTACACAAGGCATGCATGACAGTTTGCATGTAGTACATGGCATGTTCACTTAATTCATTATCTCCACTGCGCCACTCCGTGGCTCAAGATTTGCTTGCATACCGCAGCATAAAGGTGTAGCTTGTCGCCGCGCTGACCAAGTGTACTAGTGTAGATCCAGGGCTCCCTCAATACGGGGATTGCTACCTCACCCCCCTAGCTTACACCCCACGAAAAGGGTGGTGATTATGTATATATATATATAAATACATATTTGTTCTTTTTCCATGGCGCAGGTGTCATCCTTTTCCAGCATGCCATGTTTCTAGGATAAAAAAATCACTAAAGTTCACTAATGAGGAAGGCCGTTTCTAGGATATTCCAAATAGGGTCATGGGTCAAGCCCCTAGGCCCTGGTACCCTAGATATGTAAAAATGCTGGCTGACGGATGTTTATTCCCCTAAACATGGTTGGTAGTGACAAGTTTTAACCCACCGCCATACAAAACCATCCAGACCGTTTTGCCCGATGTTCGATGATTAACCCGGAGGGACACCCTCCTTCACCTGCGCCAACCCTTGTCCTGAGCCTTTGCTCCCTGACGGTGGCACATCGGGCAGTTGCTCGAATGGCGCCGCTTCATCGCCCAGTGCGTCCACATAAGCATCGACCTGGCGGAACGGCGTGAAGCGCGACGCCAAAAACCTTGGGCCCCCAACGTGAACCTTGGCCCACTAAAGGTTGGGGTCCCCAAATCACCCCAAAATGGATGGTAGGTTGAAATATAATCAAGATCCATATCTCTTTGGGTGTCCAGCGATAAGTTCATATGTAACATAATACCAAATACCAATCCTACCGGGGCAAATGATGAAAAACAATTGGCTTGAAGGTTTTCCGTGTTCAAGCAAGCCAAAACTGGATGATAGTTTTCCCTGGGTTGAAGGAGTCACCTTGGTACCGAAGCTTTGACATACCAAAATGTTGCCAACGCCCCCTGCCTTCTGTATGTATACACCCCCGCTGTTCATACATTTCCATCAAATGTATGAAAGGTAGGGGGGGGGGCAGGTGGTCAAGCCCGGCGATGGAAAGAGGTGTCAAGAAGGTTATACGTTATTATTTTTGATTGAATGAGACATGGGGGGGACCTGCCTTGCACCAGCGCAAAACAATATTTGGGAAGCCCCAAAAATGTATTCCTCTGGGGGGTGAGCTGCTACTATGAACTATCAATTCATTGCAAGTTAAAAATCTTAAAATGTATGAAACATAGGGGGGACCATGTTCATTGACTGCAGTAATCTGGATGAGATGAGACAATATCAAATGTATAAAATATAGGGGGGGCTAGGTGGTTTCTGTAAAACACTGGAAGTGTATGAAAGAAAGAGGGGACTATGTTGTTTCAACCTGAAAAACTGACGATGCCCTTCGATTGCTTTCCACAGCTTCTTTCGATATCTGGCCACAGAATCAATGAGTCCAACGCAATTTCCCGTCGTTCTCCTTGCCAAGGCCGCAATCTCATGAAATTTCGAGGCTTTGAAAACAGGACGGCTGCGCATTTTTTCACGATGCTTTGAAGACCTTTGAAGTTTGTTGCGTTTAATTTTCGAAGCAAAGATGCAGGAGCCATTTGGAAGCCACAAGAAATATTTGAACATTGAAATTTTCCCTCTGTTCTGAACCTGTCTGCAATTCTCATCAACGCTTGATGTGTTGTATGAAAGGGGGTGGGTAGCTACACATCAGTGCAGCTATGCGTTTCAGGTACTGGGGGCAGGGCGCATCCAAGATAATCCAGGACGGTTCGTATAGGGTTGTATAGGTTCCAGGTGGTTCCAATATGTTCCAATATGTTCCAATATGTTCCAATATGTTCCGCTAGTAAGGAGAATGCCAGCCAATGCATGCCAACACCCCGCAGAGCATGTGAATGTATTGTATGAAAGGGGGGGGAGCTACACATCAGTGCAGCTATGCATTTCAGGTACTGGGGGCAGGGCACATCCACGAGAATCCAGGACGGTTCTTATAGGGTCGTATAGGTTCCAGGTGGTTCCAATATGTTCCAATAGTATCCAGTCGTAGGGAGAATGCCAACGCATGCCAGCACACGTCAGAGGTCCCCAGAGCATGTGAATGTATTGTATGAAAAGGGGGGTAGCTACACATCAGTGCAGCTGTGGATTTCAGGTACTGGGGGCAGGGCACATCCAGGAGAGTCCAGGACGGTTCTTATAGGATCGTATATAGGTTCCAGGTGGTTCCAATGTGTTCCAATAGTGTCCAATAGTAGGGAGAATGCCAATGCATGCCAACACACCGCAGAGCATGTGAATGTATTGTATGAAAGGGGGGGTAGCTACACATCAGTGCAGCTATGCATTTCCGGTACTGGGGGCAGGGCACATCCAAGGTAATGTTTTGAACCCGGATCTCAATGTTTGATAAAAACAGAAGTTGAAAGAGCTATACGGAATGGGCAGGGTTGGATTAGATCAACACACTTCAACCATCTTCAACCCAAGGCCCAACCGAAAAAAAAAATCCTTTCGGTACCGTACAATCTTAAAAAATGTTGGGAAAAGGCACCCTAACAGTAGATAAGAATCAGCAACAACTATTGCATACTATTGCACTTAGTACATTTAGGATTCTCAAGACAACCTTCATGTATAATGAATGTGCGGCGTGAAACTGCTGCTGACCCCCCAGGCGCATACATTCATGATACTTCATCTGCGCCGCCCCACATCTCAATTCCCCCCCTTCCAAATTTCGCACCCCCCTCCAAATTTGGGAAGTATTAATGTATTAACCCATGGGGGTAGGTGGGCTCCCATAATTTGGCAAACTTAGATATCAGGGGGAAGGGCCTCAAAAGCGTCATGCTATTTCGTAAGATTCCCCAGGAAAACTCTATGAGCATCAAAGATCCATGGCCTTGCAAAATCAATATGAAACCCCCTCCCCACCTTTTTCTAAACAAGCGTTTGAAGCCAAATACTGAAAATGTATGAGGAGCACCCCCCACCTCTTTAGGTAATCTCTTAATTTTACCAAAAAAGTTAATACAATAATGCCCGTTTCAGAGGAAAAATTCCCTGCCCCCCCCTCTCCATACATTTTAAAGGGTGGGGGATGTTGCCAACATGATACCGAAGCAATCTTCCCTGGGGTAACGTATATTGACCCATACACTAGAAATAGAAGAATTCGTAAATGTCCAAGATGGTACCCCACTGTTGGGCGCGCAATAGCCACCTCAAGTCCTCAGCCGATTGCAAGTGTATAGGTCACCATCCAAGCGCGCGGAGTTTCAAGAGCCGTTTCGCACTCAATCAGCATTTTGATTGACATGGTGTGTTTGTTCAAAATCTGGTCAATTGATGCGCATGTCTTTGTTTCTTGGGAGACCGCGCGGCCACAAACATTTGGTCAGGATTGGCACTGGTTTCGCCACTACTTCACCTGCGGTTTTTGGAGATGAAGTTGAATCAAACGAGCGTAATGAGCGCGGAAAGTTTTGATCATCTCCACTTAACAGCGTGTGCATTGCATGGCTCATGTAAAAACGACCGTCAATCTTTTGTGGCAAAAATGGCTGAATATGGGTCCGACCCTCCACCAGGTGGTGCCTACTGCAGAACCAAAGGAAACCTTGACAGTCGGTAGCGACTTTCATACTGGTAGCTGATTTTTGGGACCATTGCTTCGGCAGCCGCATATGTTGACAGGGTAGCCTCTTTTTAAGATGGTCACTCGTCACGGCGGGTAAAAAAACTCTTGCCCACGGCCGTGTAAGCATCAATCAGTTGTTTTGGCGCTAAGCGCCTCGATCAGCAACAGCAGGACTTGTTTCCAGATCATAGATCATATACTTGTTTGGGCATTCCAAGAATTCATCAGCTAACACTTCGTTTGTGGCGTTGTATCAAAGTCAGCCCTGAAAAACACACTGCATTGTTACCAAAGGAGGCTTAGTTAAGAAACTTGCGAGCTGCGAACACATCAAGCCACCACTGCGGAGCAATACACCACCAAATCAAGACACCGTCTCAGTCTCAACTCTCAACCAATAAACCACCAAGTCAATATATCACTGAATCAACACGCCGCTCAACCAATACACCGCCTCAATGAAATAAAATATCACTGCAAACCAAATCGCCTTTGCATTAGAGACACTCAACCAAGACGTGGTTCTACTTGGGATGCTCAAAACATTGCGTTTTCCAACGTTACGCGCGCACGCGCGCAGAGCGCGAAATGCGGAGCTTCTGGTGGATTCTAAAAATCTTTACGGCGGAAAGATCGAAAAGATGGTCTGTTTTTCCCGAGAGCACCTGCGAAGGGTTCTTCGTAAAAAAGCAGCCGTTGTAATACATCTTCACACCTTCACATCTGCTGATCTACATCTTCACACCTTCACATCTGCTGATCTACATCTTCACACCTTCACATCTGCTGATCTACATCTTCACACCTCACATCTGCTGATCTACATCTTCACACCCTCACATGCTGATCTACATCTTCACACCCTCACATCTGCTGATCTACATCTTCACACCCTCACATCTGCTGATCTACATCTTCACACCCTCACACCTGCTGATCTACATCTTCACACCTTCATCTACATCTTCACACCCTTCTGCCTACATCTGCTGATCTACATCTTCACACCCTCACATCTGCTGATCTACATCTTCACACCCTCACATCTGCTGATCTACATCTTCACACCCTCACACCTGCTGATCTACATCTTCACACCTTCACGCCTGCAGGTCTACATCTTCACGCCCTCACATCTGCTGATCTACATCTTCACACCCTCACACCTGCAGATCTACATCTTCACATCCTCACATCTGCAGTTAGTCGCGCGCAACCCTTTCGCACGAAATGGACGTTGGACGTCAAAAACTGCGGTAAAATTGCGATTATAATTAGTCGCGCGCAACCCTCTTTCGCACGAAATGGACGTTGGACGTCAAAAACTGCGGTAAAATTGCGATTTTGATGTATCCATCGCAACCCTTTCGCACGAAATGGACGTTGGACGTCAAAAACTGCGGTAAAATTGCGATTATAGTTAGTCGCGCGCAACCCTTTCGCACGAAATGGACGTTGGACGTCAAAAACTGCGGTAAAATTGCGATTTTGATGTATCCATCGCAACCCTTTCGCACGAAATGGACGTTGGACGTCAAAAACTGCGGTAAATTGCGATTTTGATGTATCCATCGCAACCCTTTCGCACGACATGGACGTTGGACGTCAAAAACTGCGGTAAAATTGCGATTTTGAGGTGTCACGGGCAACCGGCAACCCTTTCGCACGAAATGGACGTTGGACGTCAAAAACTGAGGTAAAATTGCGATTTTACTTGGCCCATCGCGACCCTTTAGCACGAAATGGACGTTGGACGTCAAAAACTGAAGTAAAATTGCAATTTCACCGGTCCGGTCTCTGTGTGTGAAAGTGTTTGTGTGCAAAAGGGTCTGTATGTAAAAGCGTCTGTGTGTAAAAGCGTCTGTGTGCAGAAGCGTCTGCGTGTAAAAGCCTCTGTGTGTAAAAGGCTCTGTCTGTAAAAGCTTCTGTGTGTAAAAGCTTCTGTGTGTAAAAGCTTCTGTGTGTAAAAGCTTCTGTGTTTAAAAGCTTCTGTGTGTAAAAGTGACTGTGTGTAAAATGGTCTGTGTGTAAAAGTGTCTGTGTGTAAAAGCGTCTGTGTGTAAAATGGTCTGTGTGTAAAGGTGTCTGTGTGTAAAAGCTTCTGTGTGTAAAAGCTTCTGTGTTTAAAAGCTTCTGTGTGTAAAAGTGTCTGTATGCATTTAAAGCAATGCTGTCGACATCTTTCTTCTGTGGATATGGTCCTGCATGCATTTTTTGGAGATTGTGTTTTGTGATTGTTCCATGTTCTGTCTCTGTGGACATGGTGTTGCATTCATTCTTTGGAGATTGTGTTTTCTGATTGTTCCAATTCAAGCATGGAGTTTTACCGCACAAGTTTGTGCGAGCGGCATTCAACTGCATCTTCTACAAAAGAATCGTTTGGTCGGAGCCTCAAGTGAATGCAGAGATGCCTTGAAAGTAATACTCGCGACATCCTTTTTCTGTGGATATGGTCTTGCATTGATTCTTTGGAGATTGTGTTTTGTGATTGTTCCATGCTCTGTAGGGGCTGTCCGTGGACATGGAACGGTTGCATTGAAAATTGAGTTCTGGTTTCTCTTGGGGTGGCATGTGACTGCAAGGATTGATTTGTGTTTAGCATGATAATACAGAACTGTTGGACATCGGCTCAGGATGGATGATTGATAGCACCCGCGCTAGCAATGTGTGGAGCTCGGTTGCTTTAGCTGCAGTGAGGGTGATGATGGCAGTCACGATGTACTTTTTGGAACTTTGTTTGTGTTGCGGCTTTTGTTCTTGGTGGACAACATGGAAATGACAGAGATTGACGTTGAATATGCTTGCTAGTGAGCATTATCTGCATGCAAAATGTTTGGTTCAAGTGGCGCACCCGTGACACTTGTGAAAGCATTGTGAAGTGACCTACGGCATCATGGCACCAAGCTTTTCTGTTAAATTATGTGAGAATTTCGATAGTAAAAGGAGCAAACATGCCACATCTGCAGCATCATGGTACCGAGCTTTGCTTGGAAGCAGCTTGTGGAAGCTGGAAGGTTTGCGTACCGAGTGGCACATGGAACTGAGTGCGGCGGGCACAAATTAATTTGCACCACTGCTCGTCTGGAGAAACTGTTCGTGGCGAACGTGCGAAAACAGTAGCCAACTGTTGTTTGTCTGTAAAGACTGTTCGTGACAAAACATGTGAACTCATTAGTGCGACCAGCAATTCAAAAGGTGGAAAGTGTTGACGATCTCACCTTGGTACGAGTGAACTATGCATGATCGTGCAATCTGCAATTTCTGAGGTGACTCTTGCGCCAGTTTGGTACCGGCCTGGGTTTTTGATGGATGTGTTTGGTCTTGAAGTAAATTAAATTACTGGACTGCGTCCAGCGCTGTGCTATGCACTAAGGTTAGCACTTCTGAGCCACGACGTTTCACTGCCATTTTCTGTGTACTTTCGTAAACACAGCAAGGTCACATAACATCGACTGGTGCCGAGCTTTGTGAGCGTCTGTGCGTAAAAGTCTCCGTGTAAGAGTCTGTGTGTAAAAGCGTCTGTGTGTAAAAGTGTCTGTGTGTAAAAGCGTCTGTGTGTAAAAGTGTCTGCGTGTAAAAGCCTCTGTGTGTAAAAGTTTGTGTGTAAAAGCTTCTGTGTGTAAAAGCCTCTGTGTGTAAAGCCTCTGTGTGTAAAAGCCTCTGTGTGTAAAGGAGTCTGTGTGTAAAAGCGTCTGTGTGTAAAGGAGTCTGTGTGTAAAAGCCTCTGTGTGTAAAAGCTTCTGTGTGTAAAAGCGTCTGTGTGTAAAAGTGTCTGCGTGTAAAAGCCTCTGTGTGTAAAAGCGTCTGTCTGTAAAAGCGTCTGTGTGTAAAAGCGTTTGTCTGTAAAAGGGTCTATCTGTAAAAGCTTCTTTGGGTCTAAGTGTCTGTGTTGCAAGGCACGTGGTTGCAAGGCACGTGGTTGCAATGCACGTGGTTGCAAGGCACGTGTCATATGTTGCCCTTTACCACGCAGCATGGGTTGTCACATGTATCCTCTTCTTAATCAATCCTACTTTTCACAACCTATCCCTCCATAGCTCATATAAAATTCACCATTCCGACATTCCCTCTGGCATTCCGTTTCGCATTTTATCTGATACGCATTCCGACATTCTATTTGGCATTCTTTGCGGCATTATATTTCAAATCGGGCGCTCGCCGTTGAGGCCCGCCAGTGCCCACTGAGAGGAGCTCGCGGTTGAAGCCCGCAGTGCCCACTGAGATCTGGAGCCCGTGGTTGACACTGAGATCTCGTCTCGCGCTTGCGGTTGAGGCCCGGCTGCCCACTGAGATCTGAAGCTCGAAGTGGACGACGCCGAGGAGGAGCAGGAGGTGGTTTCGGGAAGTTTCGGGATGCAGTTCTCATAAAATCTAGAGCCCTTCGTTCGTTCGTTCGTTCGTGCGTTCATTTGGGTGAGAACCCCCTTGTCTATACGAACCCCGTTTTCCTATAAGCAACCGATGTGTTTTTAGATTCATGACTCGCAAGGCTTGTGGAAATTACCGCTTCAATAATACAATCATAAACTCTGACAGCTGTGGGTTCACCATGGTTTCAAGGCGGCTTGACCCAGACCTGTCTTGGATATGCCGAGAAATCCATATTGCGCCTACACCTTTATATTGGGGCTGATAATTTTGACCCATCCCCACCAAGGACCTTGCCCTTGACCCGTCGACCCCGCCTGCGTGTAGCCGGCAAATGCACGAGCCACCGGCATCCAAACACCGCGAGCGCCGTGGCAGCGGACGTTGACTTCCACGAGGCAAGGCCCCGTCTCTGTCATCATCACCTGTGGCGTGGATGGTGTCGGTCTGGGTCTAGATGTGGATCTGTCCGGAAATGGGGAGTATGGCCCTCGAAATATGGCTAGCTAGTTGAATGTAGGAGATGGTGGCGAAATAACAGGCTTGGGGATATCTTATTCTCAAACAAACCTAAGAGGAGAACGCGCCCCCCCCAAATGTTTTCTTATGCATCAAGACACCTGGGTTAGGAGGAGTTTTGACAGAAAAGAAGTGGAGCCCCTCCGCAATTCTTGACTTGTTGGGTGATGTTTTGTGTGTGGCTTACAATACCCGATAGAATTGAAGGGTATATAGTGGGTTCATCACGTCGTCAAAATGCTATGTCATAACGCGCCAATTACTGGTGCCCGTGTGTTTGCCGGCTTTGAAGAGAAACGCGAAAATATGATTTCTTACTATTGGAAGCAAGGATTTGTCAATGATTTTGAAGCTCCTAGCTTGTGACGGCTCCCAGCGCCAGGGAACTAACGGAGACCACAAGGCCAGACCGTTTATGAATACAAGGGCAGTCCTGCAAATGGTGATGAATAGCTTCATAAACGAAGGTTACCACTATACCATACCATGCCATACCTGGTTCCTGACTGATTAGTTAATTTAAATAACACCTGGATGCAACCGACAATGAAATTCCGGCGCCAATCGAAGCTGCAGCGGGGTTTCGCCGCCACTTTCTTCACGCGCAGCAGTCTAGAATTTGGAGGCTGTGCAATGTGCGTCCGGTACACCCACCTCCTCTGACTTCAGCTGACAACCCAGAGGCTTTCAAGTTATGTTGGAATTTCGGCGTGAGAAGTGAAGAACACGCGTTTCTTACGTGAGCCGCGTCTACCTTCATAACGTTTAGGAGGGAAGGCGTGTGTAAGTTCATATACGTTCATGTCAGCCCAACAAAAACACTTTTAACTCCATGGGCTTGAGCCCGTCCCCACCTCCGCGTGGGTTGCGCCCTCAGTGATTGAAGGTGCATCTAGACATGCACGCGTATAGGCGATAAGTTGCCGTGCCACCGCAGTGTCAGCAGCAACGCACTGTTGCTGAAAGCAAACGTAGCCACCATTGAGAGGCCCACGGTCACAGTCCTTCAACGCGCGGAATGATATGGATGAACTTGAGAAGGGCAGCCCCTGAAAAGAGAGAGAGAGAGAGAGAGAGAGGGAGGCAGGCAGGCAGGCAGGCAGGCAGGCAGTTAGACAGGCAGACAGAGAGACAGGCAGACGCAGACGGACATACAGACAGGCAGGCAGGCAGGGAGGCAGGCAGGCAGGCAGGCAGACAGGCAGACAGACACAGACAGACAGATTGACGGACGGAGGGACGGACGGACGGACGGACAGACAGACAGACAACAGACAACAAACAGACAGACAGACAGACAACAAACAGACAGAGCGACGGACGGACGGAAGGATGGATGGGCGGAGGGATAGACAGACAGACAAACAGACAGTGATAGATAGAGAGATAGATAGATCGCGATAGATCGATAGATAAAAACAAATTATAGGACCGGGCACCGGGTAACCCCACATGTTACCAACTTTTCTAGACTTAGACTGAGCACAGAAAAGCAAGAAGGGAAGAGGAAGTATAAGAGTGATGGAGGGGTGATGGTGGGTGAGTTTGTGTGTGTGTGCGTATGTATGTGCATGCGCAGGTGAGTGAATGAGAATGTGAGTGAGTGATGTGAGTGTGGTGTGTGTGTGTGAGTGAGTGAGTGAGTGAGTGCGTGCGTGCGTGAGTGAGTGAGTGGGTGGGTGGGTGGTGGGTGAGTGGGGTGAGGTGGAGTGAGTGAGTGGGGTGGGTGGGTGGGCAAAGAGGCGGAGACCAAGTGGACACCGCACGTACATTTCCGACCCCTCTTGCAATGACGCATTTGTTCCCACGCCTGCCACGCAAAAGAGGCGGAGCCCAAGGGACGCAGGGCGTACATCCGAACCGTGGCAGTGCACATAAGAGGCGGAGGCTGAAGGGACGCCAGGGCTTACATCCGACCCTGGCAATGCACATTGTCCCACGCCTCTGCCACGCAAAGAGGGGGGGGGTGGGGGGGGGGGGCGGAGTCCCAAGGGACGCCAGGGCGTACATCCGACCCCTTGGCGGTGCACATTGTCCCACGCCTGCCACGCAAACGAGGCGGAGACCAAGGGACGCCAGGGCGGACATCCGACCCCTTGGCAGTGCACATTGTCCCACGCCTGCCACGCAAGGCGTGAGTGAGTGAGTGAGTGAGTGAGTGAGTGGGTGAGTGAGTGAGTAAGTGAGTGAGTGGGTGAGTGAGTGAGTGGGTGGGTGAGCGAGCGAGTGAGTGAGGGAGTGAGTGAGTGAGTGTGTGTGTGAGTGAGTGAGTGAGTGAGAGGGAGTGAGTGAGTGAGTGAGTGAGTGAGTGCGTGAGTGAGTGAGTGAGTGAGTGAGTGAGTGAGTGAGTGAGTGAGTGAGAGAGGAGGACGGGAGGCGGAGGAGGAAGGCGGATACAGAACTAAAAACAAAAACCCCACACGTCAATGTGGGGAAAAAGTAGAAGGGGTAGATATATAGATGGACAGACGAATTAGATAGACAGATAGTTAGGTAGATAGATAGATAGGTAGATAGAAAGACAGATAGGTAGATAGATAGATAGATGGTTGGATGGATGGATAGATAGATAGATATATATATAATAAAAGAAAAATAGATACGTAGAAAAAGAGATAGATGGGTTGATGGATGCGGATGGAAAGATAGATAGATGGATGGGTGGATGGGTGGAACTTGAGGCCAAAGGGAAGGGGGATGAAAGCTACTGGGCGGGCGTTGTTTCTTACCCCAGGCACCCAGAAGTTACCCCATCCCGATGGCACACAGGGTTACCCCAGGCCATCCGGAAGTTACCCCAGGGACCAAATCCTATTGGCACACTAGTACCACACCACCGTTGGTTTGGCAAACAAAATATGTAAAATGTTTCCGTGCCATTATGAACCATGTTGAAAGTGGGCAAATGCCATTGGCACACACGCATTGACAGCGAAACAGCTGCCTTCCATACAAATGAGAAAAGTAGCCAATTCTGCAGCACACGCCCCGTTTGCTTGTCATGACTCTGGACATGGATTCATTTGATTTCGGTACGGGCTCCGGCGTGATCCTGCAGCATTTACTAGAACTTGCGCCAGCCGCATGGCACACCGCTTACGCCAGACATCAATAATCTTCCACCAGTTTGAACAGTCAGAACAATCATCCTCCAGCATGGCACACCAAGTATAGCATTTCCAACATGGTTTCTATGATAAACTCTACTTAATGCCAATCAACCCTTTCATCCACTTCCCCATGGCACACCGCTGGTCGGATCGACTTTCTTTTTTCAGGTCATCTTCTTATGCTTTTGGTTTCTTCCGTGCAGCTTCCAGCCCTTTCACAAATCTCTTGGTTCTCTGCCCAAAAACCGCGCCTTGCCCAGAAGCAGCAGCACAAGCAACAACAGCAGCAGCAGCAGACCAAGCAGCAGACCATTGCAAAGCCTTTCCAAAACCTCTTCGGGCTGGGTTTTAACTGGCTGCAATTTTAACGAGGTCCGAACGAGGTGCGAACGAGGGATAAAGAACAGGTCCGAAATCAAATTTTGGGAGATTGACCCCCTAAGTCTCCTGGCAAAGTCTTTGGTAGCCAGACGCTTTCGCATTCTTTTCAGGACAGTAAAACTCAAGAGCTTTCAGCGGTGGAGCAGAAGAGGAAACCAAGCCAAGCAGCAGCTGCAGGCAAGAGCAAGGAGACAGAAGAGGAGACAAAGGGCGAGTAAGGGAGACAGAGGGGAGACAAAGGGACGCAAGCTTGGCAAACAAGGCGGCGGTGAGAAATTTGAGCGGGTACAGACTGGTTGAGACATAGGAGCCGTGATAGCCAAAGATATCTAAAGGCTAAAACTGTCTGGGGAAGAGAAAGCAAAGCCATGGGCAGAGGAACCACCAGGCATAGGGCAGCAGGTCAGGATGACCTATGTCTATGTTCGATTGTCTATATTTGAGCCCCAAACCGAAGCAAAATACAGCTCAAACACATGTTTTACGTATTAAACGTGATACCAACTTCAAAACTCACAAAGCACCACCTAAACGCCACGACCGCAACGACTTCCTAAAATTTGTTTGCCAACCTAAATCCAGGAAAAGTATATAAATGCCACGACTTTCATCTTTGGGAGTATAGTGGGTAAACCCACAAAGATATAACAGGTAAGCATCGTGTGCCTATGCGAAGTGCCAAAAAATACATCAGTAAGTTAAAGTCATAGGTGCTGCCCATGTGGGCCTTTCCCCATAGGCACACCACGATTTGGCACAAGATCTTGTCATCGGCACTTGTTACAACATCGATCCAGTAGATAAATTATCTGTTTCCCAATGGCACACCTAGTGCCAAATAAGTCGTGCAAAGCATTCCTGACCCAGTGTACCCCTGCGTTGTGTGCCCTGCAATGGACAAACAAACAATAAGAAGGTTTATGATTCTGAGTTCCAGCCAGCCAGAGAGGCAGTCCCACAATTGAGGGGAAGAAAGCATGTTTTCCCTGTGTAAAAAGAGCATGTTATTTTTTAAGATTTAGGGGGCTGTCTAAAAAGCTAATGTCTTTGTATGTGTGTTTTAAGGGTTCACATATGAAACCAACGTGTTTTCATATGTTATTTAAGGGCAGCTTTAAAGGTCAATGAATTTCAGCATTTCACTTGCGGTCATTGAGGACTCACCTGATTGCCGCTGCCTTGCCCGTAGCCCCATATTGGTTTTTGATCCCTTTGACAGAAACATCTGCAGTAGTAGATAGCACGCTGATGCTGCAGCCTCACCAGGGCCTACCAGGCCCTACCAGGCACTACCCCGGCCGGAGGAGGAGGAGGAGGAGGATGAGGATGACCACACTGGACCACACACTGGATCACATATGCTTTTGGCAGCCCACACTGGGCCACACACTGGATCACATATGCTTTTGGCAGCCCACACTGGACCACACACTGGATCACATATGCTTTTGGCAGCCCCCTTGAAAATCAAAAAACGCAATTTTACACTGTAAAATGTATGTTTTTGCAAGTTTTTGCAAGTTCTTTGCCAATTTTTGCTACGTTTTGAAGGTCCAAAATGCCAAAAAACATACATTTTACAATGTAAAATGTGTGTTTTTTCAATTTTGGACGTTTTTGGACAAAAATTGTATCAACATCTTCTCTTCAGACAGCTGACCTTCGAATCTGGGGCTCCGAAATTCAAATTTCAGTCCAAAATTGGAAAACATACATTTTACAGTGTAAAATGTATGTTTTTTGGCATTTTGGACCTTCAAAACATAGCAAAAATTTGCAAAAACTTGCAAAAACATACATTTTACAATGTAAAATTGCGTTTTTTGATTTTCAAGGGGGCTGCCAAAAGCATATGTGATCCAGTGTGGTCCTCCTCATCCTCCTCCTCCTCCTCCTCCTCCGGCCGGGGTAGTGCCTGGTAGGGCCTGGTAGGCCCTGGTGGGGCTTGGTGGTCCCTTGCCCTTTGGCAGCACGCTGATGCTGCAGTAGTAGTAGATGGATTCTACTTTACTCAAGGTGCCGTGGTCCAAAAAAAAACTGCTGCCGCTGGACAGTGGCAATGGTGGGTAGTATGTGGCTCACACCCTTCAACCAACATACCAGGAGGCAAACTGGTTCACTCTGCACCCTTCACCAAACATACCAGGAGACATACACATCATCTATATACCTGTCCCAGGCCTGGGTTGTCAAACATACATTTTGAGCTACCTGACATACATTTTTGCCTAGGGGCTGTGGCTAGATTGGATTTCATAAGTTTATGACTACAAATGGTAGGTTCATGTTGGTGAAATTCAGCGTGCCTATGCGTTTTGTCCTCTTACAATAAGCAATGATCCAGTGGAATAACAATATCATATATATCTTTTATACACACTTCCACGCGGCACACCGACCTGGGACAACTTCAGGGGCGACGAGACAAGAAACGACATGAACCCAGTAGCTGAGCAAGGAGAAATATGTACTGATAGAATATGTGGCACGACCTTTTCAGTTGCAATTTTGGAATTTAAATTGAAAAAACCGTCTCCACTGAACAAATAGCCCAGGCTTAGAATCTGGGAACTTACGTACATACATCCATCGAGCAAGAAATGCTTGGGAATCTTAAGATGGGCATCTGCAATTCCTCGTCGAGACCGGTTCATGTTTTAATGCAAACGTCTTGAGGAAAAGGAGTGCACGAATCCAAGTGGTTGTGCATGGCTGTTATCTCAATAATATCATTACATTAGATTGCATTACACGAGGTTACATTGCATTACATTGCGTTACATTACGTGACCTTGAGTTACATTACATTGCGTTGCATTGCATTACATGAAATTAGATTACATTACGTCAGATTGGATGAAATCAGATAGGTTAGATTGGATTAGACTGGCGTGTGAGAAAAAGAGAGAGAGAGAGAGATAGAGACTTAGAGCATCATAGGGTCCAGCAGTGGGTTCGCTCTGCCATCCATGCATCGCAACAACACACCTCTCCTATAGGGTTCCTTTCTTTGAAACTTTCGCCGCCGCCATGCAAGGTTAGGGGTCTGGTGCCAGTTTCTTGCTTTTCCAAAATTAAAGGACCGGATAACCCCACAAGTCAACTTCTTCCAATAATGAGCAGCAAATGTTGTAGCGGGACGGGGAAGGGAAGACAAAGGAGGTGTTGAAGGATCGACGTGTAAAAAAAAGGTTGCGTGTGACAAAGTTGTATGTGAAAGATGGTGTGTGACAAAGAAAGATGGTGTGTATGACAAAGTTGTGTGTGAAAGATGGGGTGTGCGAAAGTTGTGCGTGAAAGAGAGCGTGTGACAAAGTTGTATGTGAAAGATGGTGTGTGACAAAGAAAGATGGTGTGTATGACAAAGTTGTGTGTGAAAGATGGGGTGTGTGAAAGTTGTGCGTGAAAGAGAGCGTGTGACAAAGTTGTGTGTGAAAGATGGTGTGTGACAAAGTGGTTTGTGAAAGATGGTGTGGTGAAAGATGGTGTGTGTGTGACAAAGTTGTATGTGAAAGATGGTGTGGTGAAAGATGGTGTGTGAAAGGTGGTGTGTGACAAAGCGGTGTGTCAAAAATGGTGTGTGACAAAGCTGTGTGTGAAAGATGGTGGGTGAAAGATGGTGTGTGTGAAAGATGGTGTGTGTGACACAGTGGTGTGTGAAAGATGGTGTGTAAAGATGGTGTGTGGCGAAGTGCCACACGGCCAGCCCAGTGCCACAAGTGCCGCGCCTGCCACGCAAATGAAAGGTCAATGTCACCAAATGCCACACCTGCCACGCAAATGGAAGGCCAAGCGCCACGCCTGCCACGCAAATGGCACCAAGTGCCATGCTGGCCACGCAAGGTGGCGCAGCGCCACGGGCGACCAAGCGCGCCCAAGCGCACCACCAGAGCCAGCCCAGTGCCACAAGTGCCACGCCTGCCACGCAAATGGAAGGCCAATGTCACCAAGTGCCACGCCTGCCACGCAAATGGAAGGTCAATGTCACCAGTGCCACACCTGCCACGCAAATGGAAGGTCAATGTCACCAAGCGCCACGTGCGCCACGCAAAGTGGCGCGGCGCCCCGCCCAGTGCCACAAGTACCACGCCTGCCACGCAAATGGAAGGTCAATGTCACGAAAGATGGTGTGTGACAAAGTGGTGTGTGAAAGATGGTGTGTGACAAAGCGGTGTGTCAAAGATGGTGTGTGACAAAGTTGTGTGTGAAAAATGGTGTGTTGAAAGATGATGTGTGAAAGATGGTGTGTGTGAAAGATGGTGTGGTGAAAGATGGTGTGTGACAAAGTTGTATGTGAAAGATGGTGTGTGACAAAGTTGTGTGTGAAAGATGGTGCATGACAAAGTTGTGTGTGAAAGATGGTGTGGTGAAAGATGGTGTGTGACAAAGTTGTATGTGAAAGATGGTGTGCGACAAAGTTGTGGGTGAAAGATGGTATGGTGAAAGATGGTGTGTGACAAAGTTGTGTGTGAAAGATGGTGTGTTGAAAGATGGTGTGTGACAAAGTTGTGTGTGAAAGATGGTGTGTGAAAGATGGCGTGTGACAAAGTGGTGGCGGAGGCGGCGGAGGCGGAGGCGGGATACAGAACCAAAAACAAGAACCCCACACAAAGATGTGGTTGCTTTTCAAAAAAACAGCCCGGTAGCCAAAGGCAATTATAGCAGGGAAGATGATGATAGGCTTTTTAAATTTAGATTGATATTTTTTACAAAGACTCAGCGCGTTTTAACCTGCGAGGGACAAATGAGAATGACAATCAGCAAAACCATACTTGCCATTTACAGCAGCAGACCCAAACCATAGTAGTCTTGTGAACGCCATCTCGCGACACGTGATCCACCACGTACTGTACTCCCTTCAAATACTCTTGCAGTAGCACCCCCCTATTTCTGCGGCCCTGCAGCTGCCAGCTCAGCTGGCGAAAATGAGTTTCTGCTTCACAAGCATTGTGACAGAGCTTGACGCCATACGACCCGTCGGATTCTGCCGGCTTGATGATGATTGGGAAGCCTTCTGTCTCAGCAAAGGCCTTGACAGAGTTCCAATCTGTACCCTTCACTGATCGGGTGGATCTCAGGTTGGCGGCTTTCACAGCATCCTGCTGCACCTGCTTGTCACCTGGCTGGTTTTCTGGGTCTCCAGCTGTTCTTTTAATCAGGAATAATTATTTGGTGAAAGATTGTTTCGCAATTCCGTTCCATCTCACACCAAGAGATTTATGTCCGTAAACAAAATGCTACATCATTTCGCACTCGCTTTCACCATCCACACCTCTGGCCATAGGCCGGTTGCCCCGCAGCTGCAGATGCTGTGCCAAAACATCGGTCAGCATCACTCCCGTTTCGAAGCCGCAAAACACCGCGGCGATTGGCAAGCATGCCGCGTTTTGTCGAAGGACCTCCAGGGTCTCGGCCACGGTCGCCTGCTCTTCCACCTGGTCACCGGGTGTCAATTGGTGGTTCATCCGAAGGAAAATGGCGATTAATCTAGAAAAGACCGAAAGAAATCCCATAGAAAAGGGTTCATAACCAGCCACCGTTTCACCCTTTTATTTTCTGGGAATAACGCGCAAATCGGAAACTTGCGATCACTACGTGGGGACATGCGGTGATAGGTGCTACAAATAGAGAGTTGAAGAGGGAAGATGCTCGATATGGCAATGGGGTCACTTGCGACTCGTAAATTGGGTCACTTGCGACTCAGGGTCACTTGCGACTAGTAGGGGTCACTTACGACTCGGATTCTGGGTCACTTGTACCTCCAACCATCCCCTGATAATAACAATGCTCTGGGGGGGGATGGGTGGGGTGGGGTGGGGCAATAACGTTCATGTCACGTCCCGTTCATCTCAAGTTGAAGACTTCTGGACTCTATGCTCCCAAGGGTTTGCAAGTCTTCAACTGGATAGGGTAAAAAAGGCCCATCAACCAAGGCAAAGCACTCATCTGCGCACCCCACATTTCACTCATCTGCGCACCCTAACTCATCTGCGCACCCATGCACCAAATTTGACTCATCTGCGCATCCCATCATCATATCGCACAACATTCCAGCCTAATTAGCAGTAGCAGCAGCAGCAGCAGCAGTAGTAGTAGTAGTAGTAATATTAATATCCCCCCGCAATACGTACCAAGAAAGAAGCACATAGGCACAAGTGGCGATGGATATCAATAAAGATAAAATAAACCCAAATCACCGATGATGCTTATGAAAAAAGGGAAGGGTGTAGGTAGCAAGGGAAGCCCATTAAAAAAAAAGCGGGTGGGGGGGTGCAGGGGGGAGGGCGCAGCACCTCCCCCCGCAATGCGTACCAAGAAAGCAGCACATAGGCACAAGTGGCGATGGATATCAATAAAGATAAAATGAACCCAAGTAACCGATGATGCTTATGAGAAAAGGAAAGTGTGCAGGTAGCAAGGGTAACCGATGATGCTTATGAAAAAAGGAAAGAGTGTAGGTAGCAAGGGAAGCCCATTAAAAAATAAAAACGGGTGGGGGGGTACAGGGGGGAGGGCTGAAGAGGGGCCCTAGCGTCTACTTCAAGATCAGCTAAGGCGTCTTCCCCAATGACAGCACTCTTTTACTCTCAGCCTGTTGCCGGTCAGTGCTTGTCTACAGGGTTACTCTATATACCTCTTGAGCCTTGAAGGGCGCATATAAATGTGCTCAATACTCATGCATGTACCTATGTAGGTATTAGGTCGAAACAAAAACACAGGCACAAATTCAAAAGCAATGAGTAGAGCACTACGCCTTGCCGTACCCAATTGGTATTAAGAGTATCTTCCTGACTTCTCTACACAATGGCAAATAGCAAAAGAAACCGGAGTTACGCAGTGGCTTCGAATTGAAAAACACGTGAAAGCAGCGAATGTCCTAAGGACATGTCGAAAAAGAACAGCGGATTCGCTAATTTTTCCAGTAGCGACCAATGGTGCTTCGCGCACGGTCTCTCCATAGGCAAAATGCCTTGCTCTACCGGTGAAAGTTCGAATTGAAAAGTTCGGGTTTGCAAGATTCAGAAGTTCAGGTCATACGAAAAACATTTGACCAAATCACGAAATAAACGGAAATAGCGGATCTCCAAGGTTGCTCATTCAAGCAAACAATGGACTGAAATCGAAGTTGGTAAATTTTGGAGTTCGCTCCATTCGGAGTGGTCTGCTCGCCGGATGGTTCATGGAGATAAATGTATATAGTATCTCTAATTACAAGGGTATCTGTTTTACATTAAATTGAAGTTCAGACACTTGTGGCATTATCTCTATCTAAAAGAGTATATGCCATCTGTGTGAAATACGTTGATGCACAGAAAAACTGTACACTGCCTCTCATGCTTTGTTATCTTCATTTAAAGAAGTATACACTCACTCATAGCCAAAAGCTTGTTCTCCATGGTCTGGACGAAGAAGATGAGGATCCACCCCACTCTGTGTTGCCCTGATACGTCGATGCTTGATCTTCATATGCCTTTCTCTTTTTCTCCTTCTGTCTTTCCTTTCTTGTATCAGCATACTGCTTCTTCTTGTATGCCTGTTTGTAATGATGTCGTTCATTCCATGACATATCAGAAGGATCAAGATGGACAAGAATTGGATTATGAGCATCGCGATCATTTGGGGCAACCATGAAGATGTTGTGATCACCATGTAAGCAAGTTTCATTTACCTTGAAGTAAAATTCACCCACATAGTTCATGTGATCTTCATCCTCAAAGTCTTCTGGGTGTTCCTCACACATCAAACGTGAATGACCCCACTCAACAACTGTTAACATACAACAATCACCTTTACCATTTGTCTTGTTCATGAGCTCGTCGGTGTATGTTGCTGTTGTAATGCCATCCAAGTGCGTTGCAAGAAAATCCAAGTCACGATAACTGCAAGAAATGAAATGCTTGACCCTGATTGGAGGGCAAGATGAATCAAAATACTTGCGCATGGCTTGTGTTGCAACACCTACCATTCTGTTGATCCAGAATTGGATAAGGCTGTGTTGGTATGTAGGGACACCTGGAGATTTTGGTGTGCTGTAATAGCATGCCTTGTTTCCATCACCTGCGATGAAGTCAACTTGATATCTGGCACACTCAAAAGCCATAACAGCTAAGCATTCACCAACAATCCCAGCAGAGTCTGATGCATACTTCTGTCCGACGTGATAAACGCACACACGTGTCATTCTCATCCTAGCTCTTGTCAAGTCAACAATCTCATCTGTATCTCGATCCTTTGTCTTTCCCCAAGATACTTCAAAGATTGCCCATGAGACTTGTCGAACTCGTGTGTCGTTGTCATCTGTGTGATATCCAGCAATTTGCTTGATATAGCCATCCTTTCCAAGGCGAGCTGCCACCATCAAGTCATGATAGTCATTGAAGCAAGTTTTAAAGTCAACCTCGTCGAGTCTTTCTCTGTGAGGATACAACGAACCAGCCTCGCAATTCATGAAAAGATGTCCTCCAAAGTTCTTGATGACATTGATGAAGTAATTGTTGAACTGTGATTGGGTTTCATCAAATTTTTCATGATCCTCATCGATAGTGTAGTCAATGTGTGGAATGAATTGTTGAAATCTTTCTGGAACCGGGCATTTTTCAAATCTGTTTCTGCACCAGTTTCCCAAATTCCAAAACATTGCTGTTATCTGTGGAGAGGATCTGTATGGAAATTCAGCATCCTTGTACGTTGGGTCTGATAGGCCTCCACCTAAATACCTGTAAGCCAAGCTATGCAAGATCATACAGTAAGGCAAGACCTTGTGGTCCTCAACGTAATCTTGGAGTACCCTTGTGAGATTTCCAAAATCGTCATCAATCCTCTTTTCTGCTTCTTTTGAGGATCTTTCTGCTTTGTCTTGATGAAGAGGATGCATCCTTGGATCACTACAACCATATTCAATGCGCTGATTAAGTTCTTGTAATTCTAGTTGTGGATCCTGATTCTTGTGTCTGGCAATGTACTCAACCATCAACTGGTCATCTGTAAGATGGTACCAAAAATCATGATGTGGAGACATGGTCTTCCTGTACTTAACATGCCAAAACATATGTCGATGCTTCGAAGACGCTGGATAACCTTTGTTGTAAAATCCTGCCCATTCACCATGGTAACCATCTGAAAAACAATCCTTCAATCTTCGAAAAACTGAATCATCTTCGTTTCCAGTGATATCTTGACCATAGTAAAGTCGAACTGCAGGTTTCACTTCAGGAGCTGTCTCATCATCTTGAATGTCTGTCTTCTTCTCCCCTGATTCCTCCTTTTCTGAGGAGCGTTCAGGTGGAGCTGATTCCTCTTTCTCTGAAGAGCCTTCAGCTGGGACATGTGGCTCCTGTGTGTCTTTTTCTTCTTCTTTTTCTTCGACAGCAATCTCCTCTTCTTCATCCTTTTCTTTCTCTTGTCCTTCTTCTGGTTTGACAAAACTTTCCTTGATCTTTCGTTGAACATTCTGATTGCACATACTGATCCATTTCAATGTACACTCAACCAATTTGTCATCATCAGTTTCCAAAATGATATGTTTGTCCTCAATGTTCAAACTTTCAATGGTATGCTTGTACTCAGGATCACCTGCGCCTGGTCTTTGAAGATCTGGAAGTGGAGTGTCTGGATCATCGTCCACCATATGAGGATCCTCTGCTCCAAAGAAATTTTCTGCGCCAAGGTGTTCATTGTCCTTGAGAACTTGGTCAATATCCAGTTTGAACTCATAGTACTTGTCGTAAGAGATCTCATAACCCATCATAGGTGCATACTGCTCCATAAATGTTGAAAAGGAAGCATCTGATAATGCTGACATCATCAACCATAATGAGAAGAAGCTTATGTCACCACGTTCAAGGGGTTGACCTCCTTCAAGATCATCTCCTGTGAGGACTGATTGGCCTGCGAGTGTAATATCATGGAGGATCTGTCTGTGCTCTGGTTTGAGTTGCCTGACTAAGAACAGTCCCTGTCGATCTTCCATATTTCTTCGAGGATTTGCATCAGGTAATACCTCACTTTCTTGTGGTTGTGTTTCCTCTCTTTCTTGAGAGCATACACCTTCTTCCTCTCTTTCCTGAGAGCCTGATGCCTTTTCCTCCTCTTTCCTGACAAAAACTTGTAGTCTTGGCAAAAACTCCAAATCTTCAGCATCATCATCATCGTGACCTTCCATGTCCACATTCTGTTGCTCTGATCCTGGGATGTGAGCGATCTTGTCCTTTCCAGCTACCCAGATGTAGCCATCAAGCTTTGTAGATGTGTGGAAGTCACCTGAACCGCATTCCCTGACCTTTGTCCTTGCTCTTGCAGATTGATGGAATGCTTCATGCTGAAAGAATTGATTGTAGGCATGTTCAACAAAGAATCTGTAGGATTGAGCTGTCAATTCCTTTCTGCTATCCACAAATTGTCGAAGCTTGTTCAAAGCAAAAACTGTGAAATGGCTAAAGCTAGCAGGTGCTTCATCTTCATACAG